CAATTTCTTCACCTCCTTTGCCACATCCTATGGGCTCCTGACTCTTTCTGCAGCCTTTCTACTGCTACTCCTTGGCTCCTTCTAACTGCTGTCTTTCCACCACACCTCTGATCGCATGGTAGGAAAGGTCTACACCTTGCCTCGTACAAGGGCGAAAAGTTTCGGAGGTCCCGTGTGCAAGTTGCGCACGTTAAAGATCCCTTGGTGATCCAAAATCGATAAGAGTAGGCGTCGTTCGCCACCCGGGCAAAATTCAAAATTTCCTACCAACTGAAAATATTTATTGTGTCCCGCGAGCTCATAATATAACCGTATGCAGTTGCGAGCGCCGTAAAACATTTACCAGGAAAATAACCACCCATATAATATTGGCCCAACCATATGTTCACCCACTTTGTAATCGCACTCTGTCAGAGAGAGAACCGATATTTTCAATAATAATTGTCATTCAGATTAATTAATTTTAACCTTTTTCTTCGGAACCTGTAATCTGTGTTATGAATTAATCTGAAGATTTTATTTAAATCCCCTTTTCCTTTACAAGGATCACAGGCCGTTGTCCCCTGAACACCCTCGCAGACGTGAAAGTAACTGGTCACGTTTTCATTTGGCATCATCATCATCAAGTGCCAAATCCGCGACAGACATCAGCGATCAAACTTCTTCATCCGTTGATACCTTTATTTGGATGCTCTAAAAAAAAACAACATTATCCTGATCTTTCACAGCCACCCATCTGTTAGGCTGTCCAAGTACTATAGTGCAGTCAAAAATTCGTGACTCAGCTTATCTTTAAATATCTCTTTAACGGGTGGACCAATAGCACCCATACTTTGCACATCAGTTTGTATCAATTTGTCTTAACTTAGATCTAATCGCATTTTTCCACTGGCTCGATTAAAAAACTTTTCTTCATAAATTTATATAAAATACTATAAATCTCCATCATGAAAATATGATTGTTCACAGCACTTTCTGCTTCTCGCACACTTTTTTCATACGTATTATTATGACCTTTGTCACGACTTGCCAATGGTGACACTATTAGAGGCAAAAAACTAATTTTACAGCGAAGACATTATTTTTTGCACTCAAAGTTCCTTAATCATAAGTTCAATAAGTACACTATTGTGATTTTTTTTAAAATAACAGACGTGCTTTTAAAAGTGATCTTGCCCGAGCTGTAAACTTTTTAAAATGTGTAGAAACGACCATCCCCTGGGATTTTTTATTAGTATTTATTAAGGAATTTTCTAGAATACAGTGTGCAGGAGTTTGAAAACATATTCACCTATTAAGACCAATAGATAAAATTGTGCTTATTTTCATGTTAAATTTCTGGCAGCTGTTGTTCAGTTCTTTAGTGTGATTTTGGAGGCTTTGTTGGTTTAAATGAATGGAACATTGGTCTTCTGCAAATAGAAGTTCATTTAGGCTTGCTGGGCTTTGGTTTGCGTCTTGCGTTATTGTGTTCATATATAATAAACAGGAGGGGAGATTGAACGTATCCTTGTCGTAATCTAGATCTTACTTTGAACCAGTCTGAATTACCTTCCTTCGTTCTGACTGAGCTTCTGATGTAGGTACATAGAGCTCTGACATTATCTAACAATTAGCCACTGATGCCATACTGTTCGAGTGTCTTCCAGAGTTTTGCATGGTTTACTCAGTCAAAAGCCTTCTCCTGGTCTATAAAGATGATGTTGGATTCTTTGGATTCTTGATTGTGTTCGGTAGTTTTTTTGCATAGCTGTCGAAATTCAAATACAGCATACATGTACCCCCGAAAATGTGTGTTGGGTGGCCTGGGGGGGGGGGGGGGTGTAAAACTCAACTTGAGCCCTTCCATTCGTTACTTCCTTGACCTTCTACGTAAATGGGGGGAGGGGGGGTGTCTATTCTCTGCGAGCCGTATGTACTTCGCCGTGACCTTATGCACGGAAGGTGCTTTAAAATAATTTCAAAATGGGTGTGGTTAGGGGGTGGGGAGGGGGTGGGGGTAGCTCAAGTCCACTTTTACCTGTACCGCACACTGTTAGTTAAGTTTGTAGAATGCCTGACCATGATGAAGGTTTGCATTGGATCAAATCCATAGCTGGCCTTCTTGAACTGATCTTACGGAGGCAGTGTTCACAGCTTATTGTCCACTTGGCGTGGCCCTGACGGAGATGGAATCCATGAAAAAAAAATGTTTTCACACCTTACTCGCGCTTCTCCTCGGCTGACACATCAATGGCACATGTATTAGTATGCAAATTTCTTGATAATGTGCAAACTATACAGGTATCATTATCTCGTAAAGGCGACTTTTAAGACGGTTTTGAAGCTTACATCTTTTCATGAATCAACCAAAAACCCACATAAAAGAGTCAAAGGAAGACTTTAAAAACACAAAATATTTTTGTTTGGTCTTGTCTCTCAGCTTGTACACAGTTATTTGAGCCTTGGCAAGTGAATATTTTTTAAAAGCTTGAATTCTTCCACACTGACAGACGACAGGGAACATGCTATAAAGATAATATCATGTTTATTAGTATCTGGTGCACCCTAATGATTATGCCCAGGTGACCAGACACTCGACACAACATCTACACGACACACTAAACAGCACTCACGAACTCTGTGACAGACGAGGCAACAAGTGAACAGAGACACAACAAGAGGAACATCACCACACATGGTGTGCCAAGTAAGTACCGAAGATAGGGCAGAAGTAGTCTAGACCGTTACCCTTACTCTTTGGCAGGCAATGAAGCTTATAAGGAATATAATGTTTGCGCTGTCAAGTTCTACGTCTGATGACCTGTGCTGATTTTGGCCAACCCATACAAAAATACCGGTTAGAGAGAGTACAAGGTACCTGCCTATGTTGTGTACTCTGTTCCACCATCTCATTTCTTGTCAGATACTGCTTAAAGCTCTTGCTATTCCGTCTTTTTTCTACTTGGAATCTGTGAGTTGTTGACGGGTGCTGTAGTGTGGTTTGCTCTTTTTTCCCTATCAAACATCATTCGTCCTAATCTCTCCCCCTTTCTTGTTTGTTACCAGTGGCGGTGGGTAGTGAAGGGCTCACGCGCTAGAGCCCCTACCCCCTTCCCACCCACCACCCCCAACTCTATCACAAAGTAAATGGAAGTTTCTCCATAATGAAATAAGCAGTTGAAACCGTCATGACCGCACGGAATGAATACATAGTAATCAACTTGGCGGCTTGCTCGCTTAGGACGCAACCATATTAACGCCCGACTCGGACGGTCAGACCAGACCGTCTTCGGGCACAAAAGAATACGCTCCGGCTCTT